GAGAAGCAGGGTTTCCATGCTGGCACGCCAGCAGCTTCGTTCAGCCTGCCCTCGGCTCTGGGGAGCGGGGGACCCATCAACCCCCCGGCTGCCGCTGGCTACGCCCCGGCCCCCTTCATGCACATCCTGGCACCGCACCAACAACCCCACTCTCAGATTCTGCACCACCACCTGCAGCAGGACGGACAGGTAGCGTACATGGTTTTGTTGTTGGGTTTGTCTCCATCTGTTGGAGTTGGTCAGGTTTCACACCTGCAGTTCAGTTCAGGTGGTATGACCAAGACAAAAAAAAGATACGAGACTGCAACTGAACAACATCTATCAAGAAAAATAACCGACGAGTAAAAAAAGGGACAAAAAAAAGAGTTGTCGTGTACACCTATTGTTCCCCCCTTGTAATAATAGGTGTACATGACAACTCTTTTTTTGTCCCTTTTTTTAAGCACTATGCTTCATTTTGTTTTTAATGAGGAAGTGCCAAAATAGACAGGACACAACCTTAGTGCCAGTGTTGTCCACGTTCACACTTGACAAAAGTTTGCCCAAAGTTCAGTTCACACAGATTAAAATTAACTAGTTCATGTTTATAGTTCGCGACTTGAATTTTGAACCATGTTCACAGTAGTAGTTCACCAGTAACATTGATGGAAGCTGTGTTTCCTGAATTGCCAATTGCACAGCTGGTGTCAGGTTGAGGTCTGTTCCCCTGTCGAATAGTGTTCCCCTCCTGATAAAATGTGTAGAATTTGAACGGGGTTCACCGGGACATTTAGTGTGACAGTGACACTCCAGTAATATAGTAAATAAGCTAACTGTGCTAACGACGGATTGGACATGTGCAACAAAATTTTTTTGCTAACGAGATATCAAACAAATGCCAGAGACTGTATTAAGTTGCTGTGAGCTGTAAATTCAACACTTTTAAGCAGAAGGCAGAAGATAACGTGATGTAAGAGTCTTACGATGTTGAATCTCTCCTCCTCTGTGCAGCTGCCTTTGTGGTCTGCAGCAGCCTTTACTGAAAAGCAGCATGAAAGTAGTAAAATCTAGGTACGCTGACTGGCAAAAAAACAAAAAGTGGCTGCTCAATTTCAAGCAATTCCAGTCAACTGAGGGGTCTCAGACTGAAGACTCAAATCTCCAAGTTTCAGGGGAGCAGCCCTCATAAAAACAGATGCATTAAAAGGCTTTGTGCATGTATTTATGTGTGTCTGTGTGTGTGTGTGTCTTTTACATGAGTGTGTAGGCATCGACAAACAAGTGTAAGCACTTGTCAATCCATTCAAACTCATGCAATCCCAGTGGTAATTGTCCTTGGCAGATGAATCATAAACTGTATATGGGTTTGTCATGTCACTAAGCTACACTGTATGTGAGTAAACACATGGCATGAATAGACAGCTCACAGATACACTCTGTCCTCTCTGCACAGAGCGGCACCGGACAGCGCAGCCAGAACGCCTCCATTCAGCAGAAGTCTCAGATCAACAAGTCAGCATACAACAGCTACAACTGGGGGGCAAACTAACATCCACTGTCG